ATGTGAGGATTCATTTTTCTTTATTCAGTTCCAAAGTTATTTGTAAATTAGAAATTTCATTAACACACAGAGGGAATATCTTCACATTTGCTCGATTATCCACCGAGACCGAAGGAAGAACTAATCAGAGTTTAGTGGTCCAAATAGAAACAGATAGTTTGTAACTCAAGAATTAATCAAGAACTAATCCCCTAAATCTAACAGATCCCTAACCACTTCCTGTTTCTGTGCTTAAAGGCGTATCTCCTCTGAAAATAACTTTGTGAGTCATGACTGTCTACAATGGGTGTAACACCCGAGTCCCACTGTCTGTGATGTTTTCAGAGTTTTCAGAGTCCTATCTTCAGTTTGTTTACATCGCCAGGACGACCGGCTGACTCCTCCCCTCGTGTATAAAAGTTGTTTAATTGAGGGACTAGAGAAAGAAGAATAACATACTGTACTCACTGCTTAACTGTGTTTTCTAGATCACGCTCATTTCAGGTAAATTTACATGCAGTGTGAAGATACCAGCATAATAAAGAAAGCTAGCATTAGCATGCTAACACAACAATGCAGCGCCAGTTGTTTTGGTTTCATGCTGGTGCTCAAGGGCGACATCTGCTGGATCAAAAATTCACATATAAAGCCTTTAAGATCATGTCATAACCTTCCATCTACCAGAGGGGCCTTACTGTATTTCAAAATAAAAGCACACAGCAAGTAAAGTTCTCTCAGCTTAAGACAGAACAACAATAAAATTAAAAAAGCTATTTGTATTTTTAGATGGGAAACAAAGGAATTTAAAACCTGCAATTAAAAATGTGATTAAACTCAATTAATGAAATCTAGCATTTAATGGTGATTAAAAATGTAAATTGTTTGACAGCAATCGTTTTGAAACATAATAATAATTCCGATTTATAAGTCTTAATCATTGAATTGTGGATTAAATGACTGTATTGCTGTGCAGTTTATCATATTCACCAACAACCAGAGTATCTATTCTTATATTGTTTTATTTGCACTGATAACCTGCTGCTGTAACAATTTCCCAGTTTGGGATCAATAAAGTAATTCAATTCTATTCTATAGGAGGATTAGTGGAGACGGAAAAGGTAAATTAATGCAATTCTTTCATGTGTTTGTGTGCACAAAGGCCACCCCTGTATAAGTCCAAGTTGGGCCACCCCAGTCAAAAAAATGTAGTTCCGCCTCTGCACAGTTATCAGAACTCTCATATCTGCTCGTTTGGTGTTTACAGGAAGTTGTGCACCTTTATTTGTGCGTAATATCCACATCCTGTCTCTCTCTCTCTCTCTCTCTCTCTCTCTCTCTCTCTCTCTGATTGAGCGCGCTGCACCTCTCTGTTTTTTTATTTAAAGGAGGAGCGCAGCGCACTGTGTGTAGCTCAGTCGAGTCTGTGCTGTCCTCCGCGCCTGATGCAGACCTGCTCATCCTGCTCCTGCTGCACCGGACAGCACTCACTCTGATAAAACGTCCAACATGCGGCTCACTCCACGGACTGTCTCCTGGCCTGGACATTTCACAAGACTGTCATCTCGTGTTCTTGGAGTCTGATAATTTTCTTCCAACTTAATCTTAAACTTTTTTGAGCGTGTGATTCCAAAAGTGATCCGATCGTGAAGATGTTGTGTGGAGGCTCGTGGATGAAAAGGATGGCATCGTACCTTCACGTGGGTCTGTTTCTGCAGCTGGCGGTGTTGGAAACGGTGAGTCTCCTCTCTAAACACTCACACCGGAGCTCCATAGTTACACTAAGTATTCAGGACGAGGTTCTTTAAGACTGATTTGATCTTCCTAAAATCAGTCTGTGTCACAATCTGCCAGTTTTAAAGGTTTGACAATTGTCACTTTCCACTTTTTAGACATCATGCGTAATGATGCCACAGATCTCAAAAACGGCTCAAATAAAGAGTCTGAATAGAAGGAGGAGGACATGTACAAGAATTATGTTGCTCTCACAGATTTGTTGGCACAATTCTTCTTCTGAAAGATTTGTTTTGAGGCTTTTATTGTAGAGAGAGACGGTGGGTAGGGTCGGAAATTAGATGGAGAGAAGTGTGGTGCGGGAAAGGAGCCACAGGTTGGATTTGAGCCTGGGCCGCCTGCTCGGAGGACCACAACCTCCATGGATGGGCGCGCGCTAACCACTGAACCACCAGCGCCCCTGATGATTCTTTCATAAAACATTGTGCTATTTTCTGCCTAGTTGCAAATGCAGATATGAAAAGTAGAGTTTCATAGGGTCATGTTACGTCTTGCTCATGTTTGTTGTAAAGAGTGTATGTTCAAAAAAAAAAAAATCATTTAGGCTTTGAAGCATTTTTCTGCAGATATCTTTCAGCTGCTTTTTAGATCAGTGGTTCTCAACTGGTGGGTCGGGGCCCAAAGCTGGTCGCAAAGACTTTTTCAGTGGACCTGGGGAAAAAAACAGTCTGTGAAGAGCTATTCAAACATGTTTCCGTTTCTTTGTTCTGTCATGTCTTGAACGTCTGCAGTCCAAACTTTTGGAAAGAAAAGCTGCAGAGAGACAGGAACATTTTGGGAGGAGAGAGTGGGGGATGACATGAGGCCGGATTCGAACCCAGAGCCCGCTGGATAGGGGGGTTTGAAGATGGCACGTTGAGCTTTCTGAAGCCATGATGAGCTTTTTCTTCTTTGTTTTTCATGTTTGATGGGCTTCAGAGACTAAAATCAATTGGTAGTAAAAGTAAACCAGCACATTTCTCAAAGAAGAGCCCTCAATGACCTCACAGAAACTTAACTTCCGACAGGAGCATCCGGTGATGAAACCACAAATATCTTCAATCAGTGAAAAAGCATCGATGTGTCGTGTCTCCGATGACTCCATCAAAGCTGGACACACACTTGACTCCGCTGCCTCGGTGCTGCAGACGGACGGCAGCAAAGAGAAAGCATTAATATCTTCTCTTTTTTTACATCCTGAATATGCACGTTTGAAATTCAAATACAGCCAAAGAATCTTCCATTTCACTCGATTTCATCCTCACTTGACCTTTGATTGGATGCTATATGGAGACATCTCCTCCTCTTAATCTCTGAGCTCACCTGAGGGACGATCAGAATCTGAATCATGACGAAGGATTTGGTCTCTGCTGATCCTGAAGGATTCTGCGTATGATCCGGAGCTGTCCCATCTTTTATTAGCTTCTTCCTCCAGAGACTCTTCAGCTTGTCTGTTTGGCAGAAGGACTGAAGGTGTTTTTTTTCCTCCCTGCTTTTCATTATAGATCATTGTTCTTCTATTGGCGGCAGGAGGGACTTTTAAATACCTCTTATTTACCCGCAGGATCTCAGTAATGACATCTAAAGCTCACACAGCAGGAGTAATTTAGAATGAACACATCCATCTTTTAGTTCTTTCTGTCCTTATTCATGATCTTTGTTGACATTGTATTCCTGTTTTTACTTTTTTATTTTCATTTTATCTTAACTTACAGACGTCACAATCAGTCAGTCAATCATTATTTGTAAAGCGCCAATTCATAACAAGTGTTACCTCGAGACGCTTTACTAAAGAGCATATGGGATAAGATGCAGGAATGATTTCTCCTTTGTATTCCTCACGTTCCTGTTGTCCACACTTCTTTACCGCTGAGGTGGAGGTCGGAGCAGGCCGTGCATGAATGAGGACGGCGGTGGTTTAGGGGACGACACAGTCCGATGGTGTTGACTGGGTGTCAGAGACGTGGGGTGGTAGTAGTTTGTGATCACCTCGCTGAAGGTTTGGGGAGCTCCGTCTACTTGAGAGCCCGGCTTCTACTGTCGTGACAAGACCTCCTGGTCTTCTAACACACTGACACAGAAGTGGGGGAGGGGTCCATAGTAGCAGGCCGTCCCCACCAACAATCCTGAGGAACCTACAAGACCTGAGGGCTCAGGAGCTCCCAAATTTAATATGGGGTCTTGGTTTGGTACGAGTTCGGTTTAACAGGAAAATAGCAACAAAAAAACCCAATACTTGATTTTAGTTTCCTCTTGTTCATTTTGAACAAACAGTCGAGTGCAAGTTACAGTTTGTACCTTCTTATCCTGTGATAGTTGGTACAACCAGTAGGGTATTAAACATTAAAGATCCCATATTCTCCTCATGTTCACCTTTTCATGTTATCAGTCTGTGGATCCTATAGAGCAGCTCAAAAAGACAGACTGCTATCTGTTAAAAACCCTTATTTCAGCCTCTGTTTCAGCTGCTCTTTAAGGCCCCCCCCCCCCCCCTTTACCCATGTGCCTCTTCTGATTGGTCAGCTCTCGGGAAGCCTTCCAGGGGGGCAGAACGCTGCAGGGCTGCCAGGGCAGGGCTGCTCTCAGGAGATGGGAGAAGAGAGTTTATGTGAGAGGTTTCACTGGCTTAAAAAAACGTACTTGTAAAGAAAATGTGGGAATTTCAAAACGTTTACAAAGGAAAATCTGGTTTCCCGTCTGATGTCCAACAAAAGGGTCTTCCGCACCTTTACAGCCCTAACATTAAATGCCTCTCTTCCCTTAAATAGAAGCTGTTAAACTGTGGTATTGATTCGAAGCTGTGAAACCTTAAAATCAATTTCTAAATGCCACAGGTGACCATCACGGAAAGGTCAAAGTGGAGGGAATGTGATCCTGTTTTTCTAAATTCTCTCAGTTTCCTCTCCTGGTGGACAGATTTCTGTTCTGGCTGATCTTGTTCATAGATTGTTTTTATGGATTGGTAATGAGTGACATGCTGGAAACAAACACTGGAGGGGTTTGAGAGTCCTGAAATAAGGGAATGATGTCATATTAAAGACCCTCCTTTACTATGGATGAATTAGAGTTTTTTTGAAGAATTGAAGAGAATTAATGGAGAGAATGAAGTGAAGGCTCGTGCCTGAGTTCATAAAAAGGAGTAGTTAACTTTCATGACGTGAACAGTCGGTTCCCTATGCCCCCTTTGGAAGTCTGTAGTTTGACAATATATCATCTTTTCTAAATAAAAACATAATAAAATCTCAAGTATGACCTGCAGTGCTACAATACCGCTATGGGAATGCATGCCCTGAATTCTAAAATCGCTGACGCCAAAGATAGATCAGGTGCACCTGTGGCTCAGTTGGTAGATGTCTCACAACTGAGAAGTCGGGGGTTCGATCCCCAGCTCCTGCAGCCATATGTCTGATGTGTCCTCGGGCAAGACACTTAACCCCAAGTTGCTCCCGCTGCGTTGTTGGCTGTGTGTGAATGTGCATGAATGGGATTAGTTTTAGAGACAGGACAGAAATCAGGGTGAGAGAGAGAGAGAGTGGGGAATGACATGCGGGAAAGGAAACACAGGTCGGATTTGAACCCAGGCCATTCACACCCGGAGCACTATCCACTACGCTACCTGATCCCTGGGATTTGATGGTCACTTTATCCAGCAGCCTCTACCATCAGTGTGTGAGTGTGTAGGTGTGACCTGCGATTGAAAAGCACTTTGAGTAGTCAGAAGACGAGAAAAGAACTAAACAAGCTCAAGCTTTCATTTACCGTTTAACTTTATAGGTCGATATTGTGTGTGAGCCATGAATGTGTTTACAGCCAATCAGAAGGCAGATAATGAGACGTTCCATTGGTTTATGTCAGAATCTGACTTGAGTTTTCCTAAACTCTCTTGTTGTTCCTTCGTAGTCTGCGGGGTGTTTTGGTTAGGAGAGCTCTGATGGATTTCTGTGTATCATCAGCATAACAAGAAATATCGCAAATGACTTGACCCGAGGTGGGAAGTAGATTGAAAAACACTAACGGGCCAATAATGGAAACACACACACACACACACACACACACACACACACACACACACACACACACACACACACACACACACACACACTAATGAAATCAGTTACCTGGTGATTACCTATCGTGCAGAGTTTTGAATGTAAAGGATGGCGGCTGGGTAAATGTTTGGCTGGAGGTGATCTGCGCCCTCAATAACGACCCTATTAAATCACTGATTGAATTTAAATAACATTACAGCCTCGTAAACCGTTTTCATTCAGCAGCGAAGGTTACCATTATTGAAGTGTTGCTTAAATGGCACTTAAAGCTCTTCATTGTCTCGCACAATCACAATCTAAATTTCATTATTGTGCCTCCATAAACATCAGAACGCGTCTTCCAGCCATCGCTTGCCTTGCACCAGATTCTCCGCACATCTCTTCACAGTTTTCATCACATGATGTGATTATTTCAGAGGCGGCTCGTGGCACTGATGTCTCGCTGGTCTAGAGGATTTTTTTCTTTTTGTTCCATAAACCTGCAGCAGATAGGACGGAGCTGTTTGACGTCTGCTTGTCATTTGTTTGCTGCAGCAGGTTAAACTATAAAATGATTCACGGCCACCCAGTAGTAAATATTTAGTCCTGTCCCTGTGACTTCTCCTTGTTTATACTTTTGGTGTTTAGACGGGCACTGTTCTTTTATCAGCTGATTCTTAAAGTAGAAGATGTGAGTGATGTATTTAGAACTCTCTTTTGACAAGAGAAGACCACCTCGCCCGTCGTGCTGCTCGGACAGTCCCTCCTGCTAGTCCCAACCAAGCACATTAAAACCTGTAATGTACAACCAGAGAGTCGTCACCTCCAAAGAACCACAAGAAACAAAAAACAATGAAATGCAAACAAATCCTTCTTTTACAGTTTTTATTCCCTTCTCTTTTTCTTTACCTAAGATCCGTTCTTTTTTTTTGTGATAACTTTATTATTTATGTTTAAACATTGTCACTTACAATAAAGGAAAAAACAAGATGTTGTGGTTTTAACAACAGCCCACAAATATACAGGAGAGGAGAATCATAATCATAATTCCTTGTACAATACATTTCAAAAGAAGGGATGAAAACAGCAGACAAAAGGGGCACAAGGGGCAAAGGGGCCCTGGATTACCACAACACAGGAAGTATAAAAATAAGTGAAGAATAATGGCAAATGAGGGGGGCAAAGAAAATAATTCCTCCTATATATCCCACCCCAACCTCCCTCCACATTCTCTGTGCGCCCCGCTGTCACTCTAGTCAATCATTGTGTTTCCATGGCGAGCGAGGTCCGTCTCCAGAGTGTGCTTCTCAGATTAGAGACTCCAACAATAACAAAAAGATCTTATTATTTATACTCTCAACGAGCTGTTACATGAAGAAGAAACACACACGCACACACACACGGACTGAAAAAACAACATCTCGACAGCTGCGGGGGCAACATGTCCTGAAACAGGCCGGGGAGGTGTTCCCGTCCAATCGCAGCGAGCGCCTCCTGCCATGCTCGTCCTGCTCGCCAAGAGACGATGAGGTCAAAGGTCACGCTCACCTGCCGTGTCTCCATCTGTCCCACATGGCCGGTCTTCTCACACATTTCTAATCCAATTCCCTCACCATGAAAATCAATTAGACACATCCGAGGCAATTATTGGGACTTTTTTCTCACCTGACGGCTAATAAATAGACGGAGTGACTTCAGAGCACAGATAATTAATTTGACTGCAGGGCAGAGAAGCTGCGGGGGAATCCACACTTTTGGATTATTTCAGGTCCAGCTGCAAATTTTCTATGTTGTTCAGACGGCCTGATGAGATGTCAGGGGATTTAGACACCCTACAGAGGTTGTTCACTGCTGGGGACGAGTCAACATCTGGGTTTCTCTGAATTTGATTCAACACAAATAAATGTTAGCAAGAATTTAAAAAAAGCATAAGATAAACATGAGGAGTCAAAAAGTCTTAATAAAGATTAAGATAAAGATAAACTTTATTGATCCCCCGTGGGGGAAATTTGTGCATTATGGTGACAATTAATGAGACAAACTGAACTAAACATTGATTGATTTTTGTCAACATCCTTTCTATGTTGTTCAGACGGCATGATGGGAAGCCTTGACAGATGTCAGGGATTTAAGAGGAGGTCGTTGAGTTCTCATGTTTCAGCTGTCAGGTGCAACACTGCGCAGAGGTTCATCATCACTGCGGGAGGAAAAGCAAACATCTGTTTTTTTTCCGAGGTGTTTGTGAAACGATGTGTTAAAGAAGAATTCAGCTGAAGAGAGAGACAGGACATGTAGAGAGGAGAGAGTGAGGGGGGGGTGTCAGATTCAAACCTGAAGATACCAGCATAGTAAAGATCACTAGCATTAGCATGCTAACACAACAATGCAGCTCGAGTTGTTTTGGTTTCATGCTGGTGCTCAAGGGCGACATCTGCTGGATCAAAGAATTAGCATATAAAGCCTTTAAAGTAATTTATCTGCTGTGTGGTTGGGAACACATAAATTCAAGGCGAGAGAAAAATCAAGGCACTCTTTCTGAAAAATAAATTTGACTTTTGGTTATATATTGCACGGTGAAAATGCAACAAGCATGGACAATAAACGCTAACAAGAAGCTAAGTGAGCACCTTCAGGTACCTGCAGGGTCGCCCTGTTTTTAACACCCACAGCAGAGTTATGTGTGCCACTTTGGTTTGTTGGAACTCTGCTGGTTTTTCTAAATTAAGTTGTTCATGCTTTTAGCATTTTTTCACTTTGAAAAAAAAACCCCAGATGAATGAAGACGTTTTTAACTTTTCTTCTAAAGAGTTCTTTTCATTCCAGGACTTGTAGCGCTACATCTGTTTTAGTCTTTGCTGTTGTTATTGTTTCTTTGTTTGTCTCAAAGAAAAAATATTTTTTGTAAACAATATTACAAAGAGCACGGTCTATACCTTTTTTATGAGATTATCCTATCAGGGTTAATTTGATATTTATTTTCCATTAACAGACGGACGCCATCCACCCAGACTGCGCTCTGGTGGTTCAGCACATGAAGGCCCAAGAAGAGTGCAACCAGATCCTCCGAGGGGAGGAGAAGAACCGCTCCACCAGGACAGGTGTGTGTGTGTGTGTGTCGCACAGTGGGGACCACGGGTGTTCCCAGAGGAGTGTGATGGGCCCCCCTTGAAATCTTATTGGCCATCTCAAGTGCAACCCGAGATTTCAATCATCTTTATTTGTATAGCGCCAAATGTCATCTCGAGAAACGTTACAAAAAGCAGGTAACGACCTTTGGCCATGTGTCCACCTAGCGTTTTTTTCTGGGAAGAAAAGCGTTGGCTGTGTGCTCAGGAGTGTTTGTGCGCTGAGAAAAAAAAGCGCTTGCACGTCCGTCCTGTCTCCATGACACTCTTTTTCTCATCGCTTTTCAAGATGATGAAGAAGATGCCATTAAAGTCATTATTCTTTGTCAATGATTGTCCATCTTTAGACCGTGCACATCATAATGGTTATTGGCTGAAGGGTCACTTTTACCTCCCTCTCCTCCTCGCCGTCTTCAGAGGGCGTTTAAGAGGACTGAGAGGTGTTGAAGCTATCGACAGTTAATGTCAGGAGCCGGAAGGAAAAAAAAAAATCGACAAAGCTCTGAGAGATCTTTTGTCCAGGGAATTGATTACTGTACCGAGGTTTCTCATTAGAGGATAACAACCCCGGACATCTGGCTTACAAACACTTCAGCTCCTCAGATAATCCTCCCGTAATGATTTCATCCAACCCAGAGACACAGCTCTTAAGACCACATGTTGGAGACCAAATGAAGCCCGTTGTTGCCGTTCTCTTTTTGGATTCAGTCTTCATCTTCAGACCAAAATTGATGTCATTTATACTCATTAAAGCTTTGGTCTAGTTTTAGTCAACAACATCTGGAACATTCAATAAAAAGTCACATTTTTAGTCATTACTTCAGATGTACAAAATTGTACGGCAATGTTTACATTAAAAAATCTAAATGAATTCAAAACTGATTAAACCTTTTTTTTTTTTGAGTTACCTCAAATATTTCCAACAGTTATCAAAGCCAGAAAAATATATTTTTTATTTTTAGTTGTAACAGCCCATGTCTCGCCTTGATGGCCAACATAGATACTGTAGAGCCGCCATGACAGACAGAATGTTTATCGTTGCCGTGGAGACCACTGCATGAGGAAGCGTGAGCTGCTACTAAAAGCTGCCGTTCTGTTGCTGTATGTGCTGCTACTTGGAAACATTAGCAAGTCGGTAAACATATTCTCTTCTTCAGGTCGGTTTTACCCGGTCGTCAAGACTACGGTCGGGGATGATGATTCCCCGCCAGCCTCGATGTCCAATAACTTCAGCGCCCTCAGCTCTGCCACTAACCCAATGAGATTGCTTACCTTTGCCGAATCTATACAAATAAAATCTGATTGATTTCATGACGCAGTGCTGGGAGATGCTTAAGCCAGCAGGGAGACAAACAGGACCAGTTTGGTCGAGGCTGACTGGAGAAATGAAGCGGCTGAATGCCTCTGCCGGGGTTCAGTCTGGGGATTGAAGCGACTCGTACTCGCTGCCTGAACAGCTAATTGTCCCGTCTTTGCTTCGCATGATCACAAGAAAGGTGGAAAAAAACGGTGCAATTAATTCTGAGTGACACCAGATGTGTCATGCACAGACGATCCCCTCGGAGTCTGTAGCTTTCATCAATGCTTTCAGATGGAGCGAGGAGAGAGAGAGCAGAGCTTTACCTGCCTGGAATGACCCCAGTCACATAACTCTCCTACGGAAAGAGAATTCACATATCGGCTGTTGTCTACACAGCTTTAAAGACAGCACCTGAGATGGAGAGTGGAGCTCTGGCCTGTTGAGGGACGAGCTGTTCCGGTGGCTGAGTTTGTTTCTCCTGCGCCGGTGGAGGGAGGATAATGGATGAATCTGCTCTACCTTCTACCTGAGCTGCACTGATGAAAACAAGGCCAGGCCGGGTTGACCAATCAGCCGCTTCAATCCAGACTTCTCCTCACCTGATTAAGCAGCTTGATTGTTTTTTTGGCTGCTCTGCCAAATAAAGGATGGTCATCGGAGAGGCCGATGTACGCTCTTGATGATTTTGATTAAAAAGCTGCAATCTCCAGACGCCGGAAACATCCGGTCGTCTGTGTGCTTTAATGCAAGGCGAGGTTTGAAGGAGCTTTTATAATTCACCTGATGTCATTGAAGGTTGTCCCTTAACATCCCTCCTCCAGTATAAATGAAGGTTGATTGATTCATTGATTTATAGTGACAAGGCGCATTCAATCTTGTTTTTCCCACTTCACAGTCGAATGCGGTACTCAAGTCCAGGACTCGCCTTTGACCTCTTCACTAATGACTCAGACTGGAGCGTTGACTGCGTTTGTACACTCCCCTTATGAGCAAACACCCCACCTGAGACTCTCAGCCTCCTCTGATTTCTGTTCCACAGTTAAGAATAAAAGCTATTTAGTTTTCTGTCAGAGCCTGCCAAACTATGATTCTCCCATCTGCAATAGTCATCATCTACCATTTCTTTACCTGAAACGCTATCCACAGTGGGATTAGTATTACCCGGGGACCTGTAGTCATTTCTAATAATTGGGGAGGACATTTGTGTTTTTAAACCAGCGTGAATCGACCATGTCTGTAAGTTGTAAAGTAAAAACTCCAGGGGCCGCAGACGGACTACTGTGCTGGTTAGGTCTCGCCCCATGTACAGAGGGCAGAGGGCCTTAATGTGGGCGGCTCAGGTTCAACCTGTGGCTCCTTTCCTGCATGTCATTCCCCTGCTTTCTCCCAATTCCCTACTGTAACGACTGTCCTGTCAAATAAAGGCAAAACAATTCCTGCTTAAAGTAATCCCTTCAGAATCGATATCACAGCTATTAATGATAGCAAGTTTATTTTTAAGAAGGTTTCCGCAGCCCATTTTCCCTCTGGAGAATAATGGAGGCTGTGCAGCTGGACATTGCAACATGAAGACTTTGGACATCGTTCAGCTGGTTCATCTCGCTGGGACTCCATCGGAGAAGGAGCAAACAAAAAAATCCATTAAAAGATCCAGATGTCAAAGAGTGAATCATGTTCCTGCCAGGTGTTTTGAGTGCTTGTTGTTTGGTTCTTTGTGGAAGTTGAAGTACCGTCTGTGGAACGTCTTCTTCTTCTAATGAATGTCTGACAGGCTGTACGCTGTAAAGTGTGATGCTTCCCCCAGAGACAAGGCGATAAACATGCAGCGCCTCAACGTTTTTAGTCAGAAACGTCAGGAGGTAAAGTAAGTCACAGGCTTTGCTTTTTCCTGTGCAAATGTGCTGCAGCAAACACTGACCTCAGGGGTCCAATACGAGAGGGGCTTCAGAAAACATTTGTATCGCTGCTTTTCAATCCTTAGATCTGATGCTTTTATTTTTGCTTCTGTGTGGTCTGTAAGTGTATTCAAGATTTTTTTGTGAAAGTGGCCGTGTCATCATCTGATAACCACACAAAAACTCTGCTGTCGTTCGATGCACAAAAAGACAACGTTTTTAGTTTCAATATGAACGCAAACAGGTTCATGCAAGGACACGATTCACCTGCAAACCCTTTCAGACTAATGCGCTATGATTCATCAGTGAGTGAAAGCATCCATCAGATGTGACTTAACGAAGCGCGGGCAGAATGGGCGATGCGGTTGATAGAAGAGTGATGGGGAAATTTCCTAATGGCGATGTTACAAAAGACTTTCAAAGGCCGCTCAAGAGGAAGAGGCTGCTAATGGATAACTGTATTATATTCACAGTGGTTTTTATTTGACTGTGATGAATAAAAAAAGTAGTTTAGAAGAGCAGCACCACTTCATGGATGTTTCTCATTCTTGACTCGTCCACCTGTGCCCTCTTTAAGGAGAGTCTGGTCTTCTTCGGGTTAATTAGCTTCACACCTGCAGCCTCACAGGAAACCCCGTCAGAGGAGGAGCGGGGACAGGGAGGGAAACAGAGAGTCAGTAAACAGAGTGAGAGGGTTAACAGTCTGGTCCTTTTCTAAGGGAGAGACTGGTAATTAGACTCACAGTGAGTAACAGTCTGAGTGTTTGTTTCACTGTTGGCATTTCCACACATCATTACACACAGTGACCCTCTTCGTCTCCACGTCCTCACTCACATCTGTCAAGTTTCACAACTAATTACCCAGATGAAATACCAGAGGGGGGAAGGTGAGGGTGAATTTGACGTTGTGCAACCTCTGGCCGTCTGGTACGTGTGCGGGTGAAGACAATCTGTATTTGAATGAAATAAGTTAATTCTCCTTAAACAATGGTTCGTAAACTTTTTCTGCCAACGCCCATTAAATCGGGTCTTGCTGCATCCACTAATCAATCCTCAAAACGCAGCAGTGCCACTCGTCTTCAACCTCCCCAAAAGGAGCACATGTCACTCCGCTGTTCATCTCCCTCCACTGGCTCCCAGTTACTGCTCGCATCACATTTAGTTTTAACTCTGCCGCTCGCTTACAAAACAGCGACAAAAACGTCTCCTCCTCCTTCTGATCCAACCTTCACTACAGGGTCCTAAGTCTCTAAAAGACGAGCGGTACTCAGCCTTCTTAGACTTAAGAGCCATATTGGCCACAATCAAAATACTAATACCTAAAATATTATTTGGGAAACACAGTGACAATGACTTTCAAAGAATCATTTCTGCTGACAATGTTTCCCTTTTTTAAATAATTACTTTTTTTTTCCAAGACCCAAATGAGCCACAACTAGTCCCAAATGAGCCACACATGGCCCGAGAGCCTCGGGTTGAGTATCACTGAACCAGACTCTTCTCATCTGTCGCATTTGGTAGAGGAAGGAACTTCCAAACTCCATTTGATCCGCAGAGTCTCTTTGCACCTTTAAGAAAAAGCTAAAGACCCAGCTTTTTGAACACCTACAACCTTAACGATATTGAAGATGATGATATTTAGGATGTTTTTGATGCAGATTAGAACTCTTTAAGAACAGCTGTCGATGTTGTGCTTTGCCTCTGGTCACTTCCTGTGTATCTGATCAGACTTAAAGCTATTTGTTTGCACTTCCTGACGTTGTTTCCTCCTCTCTAGATCATTGCTTGTGTTGTTCTTACTCTCTGAGTTACGTCGCTTTGGATAAAAGCGTCTGCTAAGCGTCTTCCCTCTCTGGAAGGGCTCGGGTGTACTCCGGTCTTTCTCGCTCCGTGTCCTATTGTTTACAGTGAGAAGGCAGACTCAGAGGGCAGAACAAACACCTAGCTGTGGGAGTGTCACCCACCTGGGGGAGGGGCTACTGCCCTTTGTGATGTCATGAAGGGAAAATCTCCAAACGGCCTGTTTGAGCACACATTTTCTGAAAAGTGGAGTAGGCAGAAGATGGAGAGGATGGACTTTTCTCATCATTGGGGGGTTTGTAGACGGACTAGAGACACATGTTAGAGTTAGAGAAACATGGAGAAGTGGATTTTAAAATAACATGTGACCTTTAAGTTTTATAAGAAAAGCCAGAACAAAATGAAGAAAAGAACATTCTCTTGTATAAAAACACCAAACCAGCTGTTCCTACATCTGAAAGTTGTGTTGATGTGGCACCTACTCACTTGAAACTCACTTGAAAGTTGTCAGCGTCTTTAATATTTCAGAAGCAGCCTGCAGGTTTAGAACAACACCTGACACCAGACCGTCTCCGTCTACACCTGAAGTTCAAGTTGAACTGACGGGCTGACAGTTTGAAGACAGACTGACATCTGATTTATTTTTTGAGGGGTTAAATTTGACGGCTCCCTTGTTCTAGTTTTCAAAGAAAAAAAGTTTGTGGTATATCCAGTTCTTCAGAACGAGCCGTCCATGCATGAGACAGAACTCCAGCTACGTGATAACGGAGAGTTTCAAATAAAAACATCTTCACCTCCAGCATCTACATAATTTGAGTTAGGGACCACTTACATACAGGTTTCATATTTCCATCAGTCCATTTTCTTCTGCTAATATGAGGTCGGTCGCGGTGGCAGTAAGTCAACCCAGACTTCCTTCTCCCCAGCAACGTTCCTGGGTTCTTCTGGGTTAATCCAAGGCGTTTCCAGGCCAGCAGGATATAGAATCCCTCCAGTGAAATCTGAGTCCACCTCGGTCTCCTCACCTGTTGGCCTTGCCAGGGAAACCTCCAATGGAAAATTACCAACCCTGCCTTTAAAGCTAGCTATGAGCTGACCTTCGTTTTATTAGTGCCAAATTAGTGAAGGAAAAAAAAACAAATTCATGGATTTATTTTGGATTCAGAACGAACAGGTTGAAAACTGAAAAACATGAAGAACAGCAGATGAACCGAGGCCTGAAATAAAAGTTACAGGAAGAGGTGGAAAAGATTGAACATGCAGTAAACGTTGTGTTTTAAGTATTTGGTCTAGAGACTGAAAGTTGGCTTTACAGAGCGGAGGGGAGCTGAGATAAAAGATTGAAACATAAAACAAATGTTATGTTTCCATAATCTGTGTTTAACCACACAGGTCCATATCTCTGTTTGAATCTCTCCCCTCTGACACATCTCCTCCGTCCACCTCTGCTTCTCTCTTATCACGTTAACTTGTTTATTAGAGGACAGATATTGAAGCAGACGTCCCTGTGGAGCTTTCTCCGCTGTAATATTTCAAACGATATTACAGCAGCAGCAGCACTGCACATGACACACAGAATGACAAATCCTTTATTGAACCATGAACAAAAACCTGAGAGTGAAGTGTGAGAGGTCAGGCCAGAGGAGGAATAAAAAAACACAAAGATATGAAATACAAGATGGAGGCTTGGTGAATCTAATTCTCCGTCTCACATCCCGGCTGCCCCTCAGAAATGACAAACTCACCTCATAACGTCTTCTTGATGTCGACTATAAGTCACATTAATGTCAGAGGGGTGAATCTTTTTAAAAACAGGACAGAAGTTTCAGGACGTACAGCTCGGGGTTTGACTTTGTTTACCTGCCAAAGAGAGATGATCTAATAAGTGGAGTTTGAAGGCGGCTGTCCTGTGAACGTCCGAGAGAGTAAAGTCATCCGTCTTCTCCGCAGCTCTGATGAGGCTTCATGTGTTTGCTCTTTGTCATGGTTATTTCTTAAAGGGATAGTTTTTTTTAGGGGGGTTGTGTGAGGTACATTAGCCACAGGAGATGCCATTCCGCGTGGAGTGACCGGCCGGAGTGTGTAGACCCGAAAGCAAGGCTATACGGCTATACAGACGGGGTCGTTTGCAGGTTACTGATAGCCAAACAACGTTGCAGTATTCGTATGCTATATTAGACTCAATTCCCAATGCTTTACCTCTGCGCTAACAAGCCACTTTGCTACATGCAGTGGCGCCCCGTCAATAGCAGACAATAGGGCACCGCCCAACCACTGCCATTTAAGGAAGACATTTACAGGCATGTTCATGCATATGTGAGCCTTCAACACTGATAAAGAACGTTACATAACGGTCGCCACACAGGCCGCTGATAACAACGAGATAACTGAGACCCCTGAGAGGAAGATTTAAGAAAGTAGGAAGAGAAACAAGGCTTTGTGCTCGGGATGCTTTCTGCTAACTGGACTAAAAAGAGATCCGTCCATTCCTGCAGAACGAGGAAAGCAGCAGTCTGTTCAGCGTCTGCATCGTCCTGTCAGAGTGTCAGCCGCTTCACTTTAATTAGCACCTTAATGAAGGAGCGTACTGCTGACACCTGCTGCGATCCTTTCACACACACTGTCGTTCAAAGAAAGGAGCGGTGTCCTTTTATACTTCTGCAGTCTGATAATCAACACAGAGTGGCTTCAGCGTTATTAGAGACACATATGACGACTCGCAGTTTCACTCGATGCAGCAGATTAACATGTCAGCGGCGGCAGCTAGTCCTCAGTGTACAGTCGAAAATGTTCCAGAAAGGAGAGTTCAAAGTCACATTTATCCGTCGAGATGTTTGCCTCATCACATCGCTTTGGCAGGAGAACCTGGAGCAGCAGCCAGAAGCTGTGTTTTATTATGAATGAGTGCTGCCGCGTCTCCACGCGCTACTCTTTTAATTGACACCGGGGCCGAGCGGCTTTGATGTATGAGACATTGTGGTGGCAGCTCCTCATTACTGCTCCCTCTTCCTCCCTCCTCCCCCCCTTGTGTTCAGAGCGACAAAGCAACAGAGGCTGAAAGACAGCTAGTCAGACGTGTGAGGGCAAAAGGGAGGGGCTGAGCCTGTCACCCCCCCACTTCTTGGTTTTGAACCCAGTGTGGGGGAAACCCCTTTTAAAAATGACATCGGATGAGTCAGTTTCACTACACATCAAAATGTCCCTGAATAGCTTTGGGAATCTGCGCCTGGCATTTGCATTTCTGTGGCATCAGAAGGTGTTTCAAGGTCGAACAAGTCGCTCGCTGGCAGAATTTTAAACACTCTGCAGGAAGAGAGAGAGGGAAAGAAAAGTCGAGCTTTCCGTCTGTAGTCAGGATTGGATGAAAAGTCTTCTCCTCAAATTGCCTTCTCATGGCGTACTTTTCTTTATACTTTTTTATGATCTTTTAACTAAGGAAGATTTGGTGGCAAGTGCACATCAAATTGTTTTAGTGCGATCTTAAAAACATGTTTGCTTGTATGCATCCTTGCCAGATTACATTTTATTTTTCTTGCATGTTGCATTATGTAATGTTCTTTCAGGGAGTCAGAGTCATAGCGTGCATGGATGTGGAAACTGTGGATTGCTCCCTCAGGTTGGGGAGTGACTCCTTGCCCCAAGTGAAGTAGTTTTAAGTATCTCAGGGTCTTGATTGTCGGTAAGATATGACTGACAGGCGGATTGGCTCAGCGTCCAACCGTTGAAGTGAAGAGGGATCTGCAAAGCTCTCGATTCACCAGCCAATCTTCGCTCCAACCCTCACCTGATGGTCAGGAGCTTTGGTAGTGACCTAAATGAGTTTCCTCTGGAGGGGGTCTGGTGTCAGACTTAGAGAGAGGGTGAGGAGCTCAGACTTTCAGAGGGAGCTGCTACTCCTTCACATCGAGAGGAGACAGTTGAGGTGGTTTGGGCATCTGATTGGGATGCTTCCTGGGCGCTTCCCTTTGGAGGTTTTCTGGGCATGCCCAACTGGGAGGAGACCCCAGGGGTAGACCCAGAGCTCACTGGAGGGATTATATATCCCGTCTGGCCTGGGAACCCCCCCGGGAGGAGGAGCTGGAAAACGTTGCTGGGGAGAGGGAAGTCTGGGTTGACTTACTGCACTTGCTTTTAGTATACTTTTCCAATTATCCCTTCTTATTTGTGAATCCTGCACCCTGAGCTCATTACTCATAAATGTGTTTCTGTCTCAGGTTGTCCGACGCTGTGGGATGATATTCGTTGTTGGTCTCGTGCCGAGGTCGGTCAGGTGGTCAGCGTCTTGTGCTCCAACGTCTCCCAGCTGTTTGCTAATAATAAAGGTAAGTCACCTCTGAGAAGCTAATCACAGTTCCCCACACTCTGTGGTGCCCGACTCTCTAAAGCACTATTCATTTTATGTTTATAGTTCTAAGGCAATATTCAAGGTAATGGAAGAAAGTGCAACATGTTCCACATAAATAAATCATAAAGTCTGTCCTGTGTAAATGTGTCTCTGAGTCCTGACTGTCTACAATGAGGGAGAAGCTCGAGTCCCGCTGGCTGTGTTGTTGTCAGAGCCGTGTTTACATGGACGGGACGGCCGGCTCCTCCCCTTGTGTATAAAAGCTGTTTTAGTCAAGAACTAGAGAGAAGAAGAAGAACATACTCACTGATTATTTGGATGTTAGTAAGAGTTTTTAGATCACGCTCATTCTGTGTCAGTTTACATGAGCTTGAGCCAAAGACTATTTTGTCCACCGCTTACGCTTCACTCCAACCCCCCTCCGCTCATTTGGAGGGGGGTTGGAGGTGTGTCTCTGGAGGAGAGCGGAGGCTTCAGTATGGAGGAGGTGTGGCCAAACAGAAGTTTGTTTTGGTTTCATGCTGGAGCTCAAGGGCGACATCTACTGGATCAAAAGTGGTCTAGCCGAGACAGGCTTACAGACATAAAACACTGCATGTAATCATCGAACAAAATACAGGATCAGAAAATCAGAAAGTCACATATGAATAATATTCAATTTTTTAAGGTTTATTTTTGGGCTTTTAATGCTTTTATTTAGAGACCGGACAGGAGATAGAATCAGCAATCTGAGAGAGAGAGAGGGTGGGGAATAACATGGAGGAAAGCAGCCACAGGTCGAATTTGAGCCCAGGCTGCCCACTCATAGGCCCAGAGCTTCCGTACACTGACCACTAGGCTACCGGCGCCCCAGCACCATTTTTACCTTCAAACAAACTGTAGACCTTGTTGCCATGGCAAACATTCTGTCCCATATCTCAGTGCACATCTTCCATGGTGACATCGGCAGGAATTATTTATAATATTCTATATTCACGTATTTACTGCACGTCTTTTATTTATTGCGATGATGGTGATGTGTAGCTGTTGTGGACAGCTGTTGGAAACCAAGTTGCTCCTCGGGGACACTCTGTTACATTCTGTAAGCGTTGTACATGTTTAGTTTTGTACATTTTCTTTTTCTTAAATGGAAAGTTGAGGCAGCAGAGATGGTCATGTCATGGAGAGATGATTACTAACTCTGCCCGCAGTCCGTCTCTTTATCCACCTCTGCTGTTTCTCCTCCATTGATGTTTTCTGTTGGTGTTCTGTTTTAAAGGCCACGATGATTGTACAACACGGTTTATTTTTCTCATTTAAAAAAAAAAAAAATCAGAAGCCAAAAAAAAACTTAAACAGAACAGGCAGATTCATGCAGACTAAACTCAGTTTATACATCTTCCAGCCTCCAGCTCAGCGCAGTGACCATGCAGGTTATATTTACATCTCTCTGAGGAGCTGTGTTATCTTTTCACTTTCACACTTGCAGAAAACTCCTGAAGAACTCCAGATATTAAAAAACATATACTCCCTATATGGATAAATTCAGGTCTCTAGAATAATAAGGTGAATTAGATTAGCTTAAATTGCAGCTTTGTTTGTGTGTGCTATGAGGAATGACGTTATGTTTTCTCTTCTGTCAGTTTGATCAAACATTATATTATTTTCACAGGAGGAAAAAAAGTAATTTCTTGTGCACAAATGCTTCTTCCATTTCTCCCAATAACTAAACCAAACGCTGGTCTTTTTTATCTGTAAAATAGGCAATCTGTGGAGTGTTTATAGAAAGGTGTGTATCCACAATCATCTATCCCGACAGCAGTGATTCTGGAAAGAGAAAACATTTCTCTCTACGATGTAACTGGGAAAACATTTTAGTTGGACACAAATGTTAACTCCTCTTAGTAATCAATAGCAGCTTTACCTCTGCTGTCTCCCTCCCCTGGGACTAGAAACCTTTGGGACCAGGGTCTGAATGAGGTTCCTGGGGGATTTGATATTACCCTCCAAAGTCTCAGCTCTGAATGTCGGGCCTTCAAAAAGGGTGAATTCAACTTGTAGCGTTGATCATTTCTGAATGTTAGAGAACAACACAGCATGCTAAAGCTACTACAGAAAATACAATCAATAAAATAGCAATAAAATATATACACTAAAATGATTTAAAAGCTTGAAATTACTACAGTGATAAATCAGCAATTAAAATCAGATCAAACAGTTACAGTTAGGTATTGAGCGGTTAAAAATAATATTCCTAAAGTGTCCATAAGGGGTCCTGTTGTAAAATATTCCAGGAGTTCATGCAGCACTAACACTAAAAGCAGTTTTCCATGGTTTAGATGTAACAAGGAGGTGATATATGATTCTCACAGAGAGCAGCTCAGAGCATGTTCACTATGTGGGCTGATCAGCTTCAGATGATGCACTCGACTGATTTCCAGCAGCAAGATTGAAAGACGAGAAGAGGAACACAGATCAGCTCCTTGTAGAGAAAGTTGAGCTCATACTTTGTGTCGACGGATCGGGGGGGGGGGGGGGTTCTTGTTAATGACCTCATAACTTTGTGTCAGTGGGTCCCTGGACCTCGCTGGGTTTTCCTCCTCCACAGACGCTCTGAGAAGTCAAGTGCTGAAGCTGAGCGGTTAGATGGAGCCTCTCCAACGGGAGGCGGCGAGCAGAGAAAATATTGAATTGGAAAATCAAAGAGTTCACCGCCGATAGCCCATGAGCATGGGGAAGGAATTGGAGCTGCTCGTTAAAGCTGAACCAGCGTCCTCCCCGGAGCCTCGGCCTTCAACCCTCCTTTCACATCCAGCCGTTCACCCGCCGACGCTGCGGCGCTGCAGGCTCTGCACGCCACCTTATTCTGAGGCTAATGCAGCTGGATATCGCTCAAACCACCCACGACTCAAAACCTCCACACTCTGCCCAGTCGAGCAGATTCCACACAGCGTGAAATCACCGAAGAACTTTTTTTTATCCTCCCTCTCGTGAACGCACATTCTCACCGAACACCGGATGACCTTGTGTGTGCGTCATGGCGGCAGTACTGTAGAGCGCCATCATCCTCCCTGCAGGCCATGGTGGGAGAAAATGGATGAAAATTCATTTAAATTCATCGTTTACAGCCTTCAGTTGACCGGGCCTTGTCAGTGTTACCTGAAGCCTTCAGGAAAGTGAGCAAACAAATTTTTTGTTCTTCTCTGGGATCAAACTGCAGAAAAAAACAGATAAAAGATCTTTTAGTAACTTAACCCTATGTCAGAGTCGTTTATTTTCATACCAAAAATATACTGCCTTTCTCATTCTTACTGAAAGACACAATATTCACTGGCATCAATACATCTATAAAGCCCCTTACCTGAAAGTTACCATCTTCACCTCAAATCCATGTCCATGAAATACAGCGAGCAGGCCAGAAATCTTGACATTAGTTTAGACCCCAACCTTAGCTTTGACAATCATATCTCACACACATCCAAACAACAATGAATATAAATAAAATTGCTACATATCACGTCCTTGTTTCATCTGAACCCCGCTCTAATTTTTACTGGCTCGAGCGAGAGAGACTGGTTCTCCAGGTTTTCCTCATGCCAGGACTGACCGAGGAAAAGCTTCTTGTAGCGTTAGTGCATCTTACTTTAGAATATTTGACATTTTGACACTTCAGGAATATTCATTTTAACCACACTTAAACATGTCCCGTATCTCTGTGTCACATTCAATTCCCTCAAACACCACTGACATCTCACTTTGCACTCTTCATACTGCACTGCCTCATGAGTGTTAGAGTGGAATCAGTGAGAGCAAAATGAGTATGGATAAAGAATTTCTTTTTGTTTTTTTGTATTCACACATCGTCTTGATGTACAAGCTTCCTCTGGTTTACTGTCATCCTCTCTTCTCCTTCTTTCCACTTACAGATATTTATCTTTCTTCTCTTTTAAGGTTTCGTCTACAGGAACTGCACTGAGGACGGCTGGACCGAGCTCTACCCGTCCTATGAGGACGCCTGCGAGTTCACAGAGTACGAAGTGACAGAACCCGAGGTGGGTGTTTTTTTTTTGAACTCACAGTTTTCAGTTCAGTTTTTTTCTTGTTTTTGGCTGGAGTATTCTTCAAGTACTTTCACTTTTAATTGTTTGGCTATTTCCTGCCTTCCCTTCTCATATCGACCTCTCGTTTGTCTGCTGGTCGTGTTTAAGCGTTCACCTCAGGATGTCGGCCTTTCCATCTTCTCTTACTGGTGGATATTTGAGGACTCACCAGACAGTCCTTGTTGCTCTGCTGAAGATGAGTGTCATACACGCCTTCCCCTCTGATGCCTTCTTGTCACTGATGAACTTTAATTGCTAGCCTGGCAGCGACAGCCCATAATTTCACCTGCTATGGTTAAGTACGGCTTTGTGACAGATGCTATTAAAAGCAAGCGGGGCGGTACAAAAAAATGATTGACACTTCTCTCTTACTCTGAGAGATCAGCATGAACCCTTCCAGCGCTGGACATTTATTAAATTCTATAAATATCCTGCGTTTCCCGAGCGGTGACCTCTTGCTGTCGACTAAATATTGACTCTGAAAGAGGAAGTGATGCGATGTTGGAGTTGTGCAGAGAGTCAGTGAGAAGAGGTCGAGATGGACGGTTTTATGTTCATACAGAGACGAGAGAATCTTTGAAATTCTTTGAACGAGTGCACAAGTGAACAGCATATCAAACACTCGAGCACATGTGGAGGATGTGGCATTTAGCAGCCAGCACAAAGAGCCACTGCTCTGCAATATGAAATTTAGAAGCAGAATGTGAGTACTCGCTCGCTCGTTGAGGAGAACAAGGCACTAAAGGGTCGAGCACGTCGAGTCGGACTCAGCAGACACTTCAGACTCTGTGCTGAAGGTCCTGCAGGATGTGGTCAGATTTCTAACTTTGAATTCTATGAATTGCAAATCGTGTTTGGACACATCTATCCTGCTGCATCGTTCTGCAGCCTTAAAGGTTATGCAGCATTTGAAACATTAATATAGCAGATATCATATATTCAATCTAAAAATACCTGTGAGTTATGTTAAGGTAAGAGTGAAGTCAAACTCCCTCTGGGTTGTTGTTTCCGGCTCTAAGTTCACACGGGACGGGACGGTGCTCTCTTCAGCTTCTTTATGTTGCCAAATCTGAAGCAATAGTTCAAGAGCTTATACCTTAAAAAGATTCAATATTCAAGATTCAAGATTTTTCTTTGTCATGTGCTCATACAGATGTGCAGTGAAATGTAAAGTGTCCAGGGTGTCAAATTGCAGTGTGAAAAGTATTGTCAAGTGTCATTGTCTGTTTTTTGGATGTAGGGCAAGAGATGCAAGACAACAAATGTTATGCAAAGACTGCACGAGACTTGAGTCGCAGCAAAGCAACATAATCAGAAACAGTCAGTAAACCAAAGAAGGAGTGAAAGTTACTCTCTATATATCAATGATTTGATTTAATCTAAGTCTTGCAGAGTGCAGATGTGCAGGAATGTAGCTCGACATTGACGTGATATCCATTTGTTCATGAATTTTAAATGAAAATGAAAAAATCCAGCTCTAGATATTGTTCAAATAATCAACATGATGTGAATTCAGTCCATTAAGATGCAGCAGCTCCTGACTGACTTCATTCTTTTGTCACTCATTATCACATGATGTTATGAGAAGTTTAATGCTAATATAAACCTGCTAATACTTCTCTGAATGGATATTTTTTTTTGTTTTCAGACGACATACTTCTCCAACTTCAAACAGTTGTACACAGCCGGCTACGCCACCTCCCTCATCTCGCTTATATCGGCTATTTTCGTCTTCACTGTTTTCAGGTAATTTTAGTTTTGAGGGCTTTCCGTCCAAGTCGCCGGGAAAATATTATCAAGGGACAGTGCCCTCAAGTGGTTGCAGTACCTCTGAGCATTGAAAATAAGAAAGTTGGGGCATTATTGGAATAAGAAAGCCGAACCCATCCTGAATTCCATTTTCAGAATGAGAATCAGAATCTGGGTTTATTGCCAAGTACATTTACACATACAAGGAATCTGACTTGGTGTGTTGGTGCTAAACAATTAACAAGGACATAAAGCAGAACTAACAGCAACTTAAATAATACAGAATAAGAAGATATTACAATATATAAAATAGGATTTAAAAATTGTATATTTAAAAAATAAAAAAACACAAAATGTACAAAAGGTGCAATGTAGCAAACCATATCCTGTTTGTGCCTTCATGTCATTAAACCATGAAACTGGTAGATGTTTTTAATAGTAGTTTGTAAAAGCATTAACTCATTAAACATTTGGAGAACTTGTTTGTTATTTCTCTAACTTTATAAACTAAACATATCCACAAAAAACATTTTTCGCTGTACAGGAAGTTTCACTGCACCAGGAACTACATCCACATCAACCTGTTCTTCTCCTTCATCCTGAGAGCGAGCGCTGTCTTCATCAAAGATGGCGTCCTTTTTTCTGATGAAGACCTCGACCATTGCTTCATGTCCAGTGTGAGTACTAACCCTCGACTACAGCTACAGAAGTGTGTGTGTGTGTGTTTACCTATGAAGGACGCGCGTCCTTTACTGAAGGGAAATACCACATGTAATGGAAAGAAAGTTTATAAAGACGTCTAAGAAAAAGGAAACATGCTGCAAAATGCAACGAGGAGTGAATTAAAGGTTTGATGTTTGGTGAGTTTTGTTCTTTAAGATTCGCAAAAAAAAAAAAAATGAAAGTATGAAAATAAGCAGAAAGGAACAAGAAAACAAGGACTTAACGCGGTGAAATAGAGGACAACAAGGTGAGGAAATAATCCAGTCGGTAGCTCAGGTTGAGAAAAGTACATTATGTTTTGTATTACATGAACATCTCAGATTGAGAGGAGCTTATTATCTCAGAGAGCGGAGGTAAAAATGCAGAAGGAGACGCTCTCTGAGGATTAAGACGAGGGCTCCTCTTCCTGTTTCCCGGCTGATAAGGAGGTGAGTGCCTCTCACAAGCCGACCACGAGGGACCGGAATCAGCACCGAGACTTGTTAGGTGGAGAACGACTGTAAGAGAGAGAGAAGATGATGAGAGAGCGCTCCAGTGTGTTTATCTTAAAAAGTGAGAAATTCTGTTTATTTGATGGATTGCCCCTTGAGATGAACCATCTTGTTTTCGAGGGGGGGTCCAACACAAAAACAAAAACACAACAGTTCAGTGTGATGCAGACAGTCGAGCACAAAATACATAAACATAAAGGCTCTCAAACACCCATCTGCCCACGTATCCCTCCCGCAAAGCCACAGCACCCACACAAAATCATCAGAGGTAGATGCACATAACGACATATGCAATCAAGAAAACAAAAATATATGATATTAAAGGGGTAAGAAGACATAAACCATTAGAAGCAGCAACATGGTTTTGTCGCTTACTTCATCATCTTCATCTACGTGATCCGCATTCTGGTCCAGAAGTTGACGTCTCCTGGCGTCGGCGGCAACGACACGAGTCACTTCAAGTGAGCAGAGAATGAATGAGGCTTAAAGACTAAAACAATTGTAGAAGTTAATTTAAGGTTCAAAATGTGTAAAAGATACAAGACAGTGTTAAAAACAGATTCAGTCTGAAGGATTTAAAACACTTTAAAAACAAGTTTTTTGTTTAAAACACTTTGAAATATACAGATGTGTCTGCCAAGAGTTATGAACCTGTGATCTACCTGTAATGTCTATCAAGAGATAATGCATTTGATTGATTAGTTATGCCTGCTGAGGCCGCAATGCCTCATTCTGCATGACGCTGAAAGAGGAAGCATCGTGTCTTGAGTCCATTTATTCATTTTAACACTTACCAATAAAAGATTCAGTGATGGTGTGCAGTCCTGGAAAGAGGGGCGAGCAGCTGCCCGCCAAAACCAACATTCAAAACCTGTCATGGTCGCACATCTGCTATTATGTCGTCATCTTAAACAACACTTTGTCTTCTCATAAATTGCTTCTAAGTCGTTCTGATTGGTTCTGAACAGTCCGTGCTGTGTGTTGCTCTGTAATTAATGGCGCCCAGCTGTTTTTCATTACTGCTAGTTAACGTTAGCTTGAGCTTCCTCAAGCACGCTGCAGCAGCGTACTGACATCCAGTGCTGTCGGGTTTTTAGGCAGGAAGACATTTGTTGTAAAATCACCAAAGTAACGTGAAGCAGAATAGAGCGCCACAGGAATGAGTCCTAAAACCAGGAAGTAAGTTAGCATTTGAGCGCCATGGGGTCTAACGTCTAAAAGTCAACGGGGATTTTGAATGTGTTTGTGGTTAGACTCCTGAAATAAGGTCTGTGGTTAACACAAGCTGAAGAGATGTTGGTGTTTTGTTAGAGCACATAAACTACGTTAGGTAATACCTCCACTTGTGAAGTTTGAAGTTTTTACTCGTCTTTAAAAAGGCGGTTGCTAACAAGCGGCTAAATGTGACTACAGTGGTTGTCGGGGACATTAAAGGTCATCACGCCGGACACAGAGGGCGGGAACTCTCTCACTAGTCGGAGATGTCTCCTGTAGGTTTAATCTTTAGGTTAAGGTGAATATTATGTTAATAAACTATTTATTAAGCTACGTGGATTAGTTTATCGGAGATCGTCTGAAGCATAACGCTAGTGACGTCACAATCATCCCACCGTGGTGTAGTTAGCTTTAGCATAACGTTAGCTTTTTACTTCTGTCGGCCGCATTAATGCTTCAAACATCATAAAGATGGCGTTCATCTGTGAAGATTATCCTGCTGAACAAAACGCCTACGCTTCAGAAACGTGTGTTTAACACAGAGATTATTTTCTGCAATGATCCAAAATCCAATGAAAACATCCCAGAGGAGGATTCTTCTGTAATCTCACAACGTTATGCATAACTGTTGGCATGTGGTTCTCTCCCCTCACAGGCGTCCTGTAAATCGGCAGTGGTCTTCTTCCAGTTTAGCATCCTGGCAAACTACTTCTGGCTGCTGGTGGAGGGGATGTACCTGCAGACGCTGCTCGCTCTCACCTTTGTCTTCCAGAAGAAATACTTCTGGTGGTACATACTCATCGGCTGGGGTTAGCACTTTACCTGTCAACATGCACGGCCTCCTTTTCTATTTGTAAAAGCACTCTGCTTGGACTTGTGATACTGATCCGGTCTCTTTGTGACCCCCCCCCCCCCCCAGGTCTCCCAACGACAATCATAACAGTGTGGATCCTCACTCGAAACTTCTACGATAACACGGGGTGAGCTGCTGGAGTGATTGCATGATGAGTGTAAATCTGTACAGATATGAAGTCTGCATGGTTGTTTTTGCAGAATCCTCAGAGTTAATCTCGGGGTTAGATTTAGACTCTTTCCCCTCGAGGTTTTCCTCTATGACAGCCTTCTGCTCGGGGACAGTGAGTCGTGCGTTCTACGGTGACGTGTTCATTATTACACCTCCTGTGATCGCCTCGTCTTTCTAAACGACATCTGCTGTGTGTCTCAGGTGCTGGGACGACACAGACGTGGCCTTCGTCTGGTGGATCATAAAGGCTCCGATAACAGCGTCACTTCTGGTGAGTGCAGAGCGAGAGGTTAAACCTCCTGTGTTGAATAATGAAGCCGATGCTGAAGTTGCAAACTCCTGCAGTTCCTGGAGTGTCCACTAGAGGCTGGCTGCAGAAGCACAGGAAGTCACATACACACCCATTCTAAAAAGCCTGTTTTTACAGCAGAGATGAACATGTTTACAGCCTGGTTCAAAAAACCAAATAGGTGTGATTAGCTCATGTCTGGATGGACACACACTGTACGGGGGGGTGAATGTTTTGATGACTCATCAGTTTTGATTTGATGAAGGATAAGAGTTATTCACAATAAGGCGTGTAGCTGACCTGATTGACAGGTGGGCGCGGTGTAACGGTTTGTCAGGAGGTTTAAAACCCGCCTCAGCTCCAGCTCTCAGCCTGTCGTTAGGTTGACTGAAAGTTAGACTGAGACAGCATTTCCAGCACGGAGACCGCCATCGATGGGACTCCAGCGCCCCCTGCAGGAACAGATGGGTGACATCACTCAGGCCTCAAACATTAATATTTACAGTCTGTGATACAGAGCTGTCACACTGGGAGACAGTTGAGGGATTATAAGAGTCCTGAGTGATGGAGCAGGCCTGTTTTTTTTTGTCCTTTATTTTACATTTAACAACAACAAGTGAAGAAGAGTTCCTTCATTTCCTGCATCGCAGAGAGGAAACTACTCGTTGTCTTTGGCAGCTAACTTTAGCTGTCAGTCAACTCCATGTTTCCTGCCAGGCGTTTCGTTTTGTTTGGTGTCGTTTCTTAGAGATGGAGGTTGAAACAAACTTGAGTTATTCAGTGATAACTGTTTAAAGCATGCCTCAAAAAATTAAATATCAAGCTACAAGCAACATGTTGAAAAGTGACAAGCTTCAGAGGGAAGGATTTACGCTCTGCTGCTCACATGTTAGTCTGAGATCAGCCTCCTTGTGACTTTTTTTTGTGTGTTTGTTTCTTGCAGGTGAACTTCATCATCTTCATCAACGTGATCCGCATTCTGGTCCAGAAGTTGACGTCTCCTGGTGTCGGCGGCAACGACACGAGTCACTTCAAGTGAGCAGAGAATGAATGAGGCTTAAAGACTTCATATGTGATTTTTCACACTTAAATGTAGAAATCAAGTATCTCCTCTGAAAATAACTCTGTGAGTCATGACTGTCTACAATGGGTGTAACACCCGAGTCCCACTGTCTGTGATGTTTTCAGAGTTTTCAGAGTCCTATCTTCAGTTTGTTTACATCGCCAGGACGGCCGGCTGACTCCTCCCCTCATGTATAAAAGTTGTTTAATTGAGGGACTAGAGAAAAGAAGAATAACATACTGTACTCACTGCTTAACTGTGTTTCTAGATCACGCTCATTTCAGGTAAATTTACATGCAGTGAGAAGATACCAGCATAATAAAGATCGCTAGCATTAGCATGCTAACACAACAATGCAGCGTGAGTTGTTTTGGTTTCATGCTGGAGCTCAAGAGCGACATCTGCTGGATCAAAAAAATCACATATAAAGACTTTAAGAAGATGAGCTGCAGACGCACCTTATATGTCTCCCTCATGGGTTTGTTTCTCACCATTCTCATCAGTGTGTGTGTGTGTGTGTGTGTGTGTGTGTGTGTGTGTGTGTGTGTGTGTGTGTGTGTGTGTGTGTGTGTGTGTGTGTGTGTGTGTGTGTGTGTGTGTGTGTGTGTGTGTGTGTGTGTGTGTGTGTGTGCAGGCGGCTGGCTAAATCCACTCTGCTCCTCATCCCTCTGTTCGGGATGCACTACATGGTGTTTGCTTTCCTGCCCGAGAACACGGGCGCAGAGGCTCGGCTCTTTATAGAGCTTGGTTTGGGATCCTTTCAGGTAATACACAACACGGGCACAAAGTTAGAGAAGGTGAACCTTTGTGATCATCAACCTGTCTTATAACAAGAACACACAGATCTATTGGAAACACACACAGACAAGTTAAAAAGGATGTATTCTATATGACTACTATTTAATACTGAACATGTTTCTGCTCTGAAGGGATTTGTTGTGGCCCTGCTCTACTGTTTCCTGAATGGTGAGGTAAGTAAACATCAGTATTTAGTATTTTATTTTGATGTAATTGTGATTATTTTTCTTCAATCATTCTTTTTGTGCAGTTTATTTCATTTCCAGTTCAAACGTCTTGACAGCAGAGTGAACTTAACGTGTAGTGACTCTTTGAAAGCAAACCTAATGTTGTCCAAAGTCAAGAGCACACTAACCAAGACCAAGGCCGAGACATTTAGGGATTGAGACCGAGTGAAGACCAAGACCATAAATATCAATAAAAAAAATCTTCATATTGTGTGCAGGGGGCGTGTCACTAGCTTAGACCGTCTGACATATTATTAAAAATCCACTTGTACAGTGTTTGTGAACATATCATGTTATCAGTTATCATTTCATTTAAAGAGACACACACACCAAAACGGAGCGTTCTGAGAGAGCTGGTTTCTACAGGGTCACAAACCTCCTCTGGTGCTTGATTCATGTTATATTTTGACCAAAGCACAGCACAGATGTTTCATTTAGACCACAGGGGACTGTTTGAAAAGGTGGAGGAGGGGACTGTTTGAAAAGGTGGAGGAGGGGACTGTTTGAAAAGGTGGAGGAGGGGGACTGTTTGCAAAGGTGGAGGAGGGGACTGTTTGAAAAGGTGGAGGAGGGGGACTGTTTGAAAAGGTGGAGGAGGGGACTGTTTGAAAAGGTGGAGGAGGAGGACTGTTTGAAAAGGTGGAAGAGGGGACTGTTTGAAAAGGTGGAGGAGGACTGTTTGAAAAGGTGGAGGAGGAGGACTGTTTGAAAAGGTGGAGGAGGGGACTGTTTGAAAAGGTGGAGGAGGGGGGTAATATGTCCTCTTGGCAGGTTAAAAAAAAGCTTTTGGCTCCAACATTATAAGGGATTTAACTCCTTGAGTTAAAATGTTGCATCATGTTTCTTTCAGGTGCAGGCGGAGCTGAAGAAGAGGATTTGGAAGTGGCAGACTCAGAGCTACCTGAGCTACAGTAAACGACGGCGTACCCTCTTCACTGAAAGCAGCACGGTCACTCAGATATCTGTCCTGGATAAATCCAGCCCCAAAGACCTGCCGCCATCGGAGACGCACGCCCTCACGCGCAACAACGTGTCCAGTGTATGAGGAAGACTTTAACCACGCTGGGCTTCATGTCCAGGATCACACCACATCCTGAGAAAGTGACTGAACTCAGAGTCTGATGTTGAATGTTGGAGGTAGCTCCTCTTGACTCTGTTTGTTGTGAAGGGTTTTCAGAATCCTGCGTGGGCTGTCAGGTCGACCCTGTGTTTACTTAAACGTCTTTTTATTCACCATCATCCAAACATCTAAGTTTCCCCTTGATATTCATTATTTGTCACCTTACGGGCTTTTGGTCAGAGAGGTCAAGGCTCCTTTCATAGGCAACATTTTTTGCTCTGGGACCTGCAGCCACTAACTCACCCCTCCCCTCACAAAAAAGCACTAATAACACAACAAGTACACAATGAATGAGGCGTAAAAAAACCTTTTGTTTTTGAGATAGATAACTATCAAAACCTGTGATTATTATTCATCGTGCTCCTGGGTTTTATTCTCAGCTGCTGTGTTGTTGTTGCTAAAAATGTTGTAATAACTTTTGCAAATATATTTACATGTTCGGCTATTAATAGTGCCACAAAACATGCATATAACTTTTTTTTTGGGGGGGGGGGCTTTCACACTTGCAGAAAACTCCAGAGAAAATCCTGATATTTCCAGGAACAGCTGAATTTTTCCCTCTGACTCCACCTGGAGTTTCTCCTGACAGATCCTGTGTATATAAGTCCGAGTGTCCGACTGCTGCTCGACTCTTTTTGTTGATTTTGTGTTTCTGTTGAGCTACACACAGTATTGACGTAAAGGGAAATATTCTCATTTTAGTATCGTATATTAGACTTTGTTTTTTTTGCCTGCCACTTCCTCGTTGTTGTTTTTTGACGTCACAGCTTGCCTCTGCCGCCCCTCCTGTCTGAAAGGGATAGTCTCCCGCTGTGAGGAGCATATTTGAACAGCCAGGTCAGGAGAATATCCGGAGCAGTCCTCCTGAAATCATCTAGATATTTAAGGAGTGCATGTGTGAAAACAGCTACTGATAAAAAAAATTGAAAGGATGGTAAAGTTCTCAGCAGGAAGTCAGTTTGAAAATGTTCAATGACTCTTGTGTTCGTCATGTTTCCTCTCAGCGTTCCTCCTCTTCTCTGATAATCCGATGCTCGCAGCGCTGCAGGAGCCTCATTCATCAACAGAGCTGTCAATCATGGCGTCACAGCATCAAATAATAAAAACTGAACTTCTCAGTCACAAATCCCAATTAAAGCCCTTACTGCTCCTCCGTTATAGAAATCTGTGTTGAATTTTTTTTTTATTCAAAAGAAACCTTTCACTCCCCGTCTCCCCGTCTCGTCACTCCCTCTGTTACCGACTCAGTGCCGCTGGTGTCTTGACTCAAACTTCCCGTTTGAACGATCGTGCCCGTGTGGCTCTGCATGCAACATGTTGCACAGTGCACTAGCGCACATCTGGAGCACTAGACTGTAAAGCTATTTATTTCACGTCTTTGTGTGACTGTAAATAGATCTGAACTAGAATTTACATGTATTTTATGACAACGGCACAGCTCCTTTAAGAGATTTATTTAAAAAGATGACGTCATCATTTTAAAATAAATCCTTCACAATACGACGTAAAGAGTGAAACAACAACTGACTTTAGAGCAGATATTTATATTTAGCTTATTTTTGGTATCATTAATGTTATTTTAGTTTGAGTCTTTTATGCTGTAATAATGCAAAAATTTTTAGAAAAATGCACTTTCTGATGTTTTGCAAAGTTTTAATGAAGGCGAGCTTCTGATTTCTGTGCTGATGCTAATGCTAATGCTAACTCAGATCCTCTTTACGTTGAGGGTGAATATCTGAGCTGTTGTCATGTTTGATCATTTCTTTGTTTCAGGCCGTTATCAGTACAAACATTATGTAAAGTATGGTTCATCACTGATCACTGCAGTGCCTTCAGCGGACAGGTGGACTCCACGTGTCAGGGGGATCGAACCTTCAGTAGGTTTGCGGTTCAAATCGCTGTAATAAAATCATATATTTCAGATTGTAACAGGGTTTTTTATTTTTGGGCTGTGCAGCATCAAATCTTGTGCTTTATGTTGCTTTAATGAGAACAAGTTTTCTGTCCAGAGTCCAGACTTTTTTTTAATGATGGATGATGTTATCAGAGCATGTTGTGATGTGATGTTCTTTAAAAGAAAGATTTCATGTTGTGTGGACTTCCCACTTTTTTTATCACATATATTCATGATGGTTTTTTTTCTTTGCGCTCTCCAAACTGTGATGTTGTTGTTATTGTTTGTTTTCACAGGTTGCAGTTTACGACTTGAATGCAGGTTCCTCATTTGGTGTTTTTTTCTTATTTGTGTTGAGACGGACACGAGAGGAGGAGATGGAGGAGAGGATTGTTGATCTTTTTATCATTATCAAGATTAATCAAAGATAAAAAAAAAGTGAAAGCATTTAAGGTTAAAGTCATTAAAAAAAAATGTCTTACAGGGGCGCTGGCGGCCTGGTGGTTAATTTGTGTACCCCATGTGTGGAGGCTGCGGTCCTGGGGGCGGGTGGCCCAGGATCGGGTCTGACCTGCTACTCCTTTGCTGCATTTTATTCCCCACTCTCTCTCTCTCTCTCTCTCTCTCTCTCTCTCTCTCTCTTTGCCCCACCCCCCTCCTAATAATTTTGGCTTGCATCATGCCAATGTATCAATCCACTGTTGAAAATAGTTCAGACAAATGCATAGTTCTTCTTCCTCCAGTCCGCCTACTGCAGGTTTCACTTTTAGAAAATGACTGCTCCTTTAAAGTTGACATATTCTCCTCTTCTTCAACCAGTTAGTCTCAGAGCTCCTCAAAACATGTGTGTGAAGTTTCTTGTTCTAAATCCACTCTGATCCTGTTTTTGATCATGTCTATAAACCCCTCTATTTCAGCCCTGCTCAAAACAGGCTGTTTCTGTGTCTGTACCTTTAAATATGTAAATGAGCTGTGTCTGACCACGCCCCCTCTCTGGAAGGACTTGGGTGTACTCGGTCTTTCTCGCTCCATGTCCTATTGTTTACGGTGAGAAGGCAGACTCAGAGGGCAGAACAAACACCTAGCTGTGGGAGTGTCACCCACCTGGGGGAGGGGCTACTGCCCTTTGTGATGTCATGAAGGGAAAATCTCCAAACGGCCTGTTTGAGCACACATTTTCTGAAAAGTGGAGCAGGCAGAAGATGGAGAGGATGGACTTTTCTCATCATTGGGGGGTTTGTAGACGGACTAGAGACACATGTTAGAGCTAGAGGAACATGGTGAAGTATATTTTGACTAATATGTGACCTTTAAAGACGATGATATTGTATATTTTGAGCCTATTTTTTTGAAAGATTCACAACTTTTATTTCAGGAGTAACAAAAACAGACTAATGCATTTTTGCTTCTGGTTGTATTCCAGTATGTGTCAGCCTCATTTAACACGTCTACTTCTAAAACTGTAGCACGCAACAAAAACCCATTAAGCCAGCAAGTTAAAAACATTTATTGTCGATACTTCCATAATGTACAAAACACTCTTCTAATGTGCACAACCAAAACAGGGGAAAAGGTCACACTGTGCAGAGAAAGAGATGAAAATGAAAAGAGCTCATGAGCAGACAGACGCAGGCTCACAGCAGCAGAGTTACATTCACACATCAGTGCACAGACTGCTCAGCCCTGTCTATATACAGAATATTTACGCTTCAAACAGGCAGTGGGAACAACGAGGCTAGATAAAAAAACATAACCACCATCACATAGCTTCAAAAGTAAAAATGTTTTTCTTGTCATGCTCTGCAGAGAAAATCAAAAAAAAAATGGCAATTTTTATGGCACTTTACTTTTCCTCATGTCTGAAAAAAGATCAACATTCAAAGGAAAAGTATTCAGCGGGTCTTTGTGGGACTGGAGCAACACTTTCTTCACAGTTGAAACCCCAACGTCCTGCTTCTAATCGGCTCGTCCACTTTTTTAAAAAACACTCCCTGATACCTCGACCCTCCAGTGAGAAACATCTGAGATCAAAACGCTTGAAAAAAAGGACGCATGCATCAATCAGCCTTTAGGAAAGTACAGAGGCATCACAGGAGGCTGTATACTTCAGCAAACACGAAAAAACAAGTAAAAAGTAAGAGAAAAGTCACAGCGCAAGATTTTCAAATGACAGCAATTCACTTTGAAGCACAGGTTTACAAGGTACGACGTCGGCATGGCAACCCGTCTCTGTGCGGCACATTGAAGCTGCAGATTATTTATCACAAAGGTTTGCTACACACACACACACACCTCTCAAAAACACTTCCACTAACAACGTCAGAGATAAAAAAAAATTAAAAAACAACAACAACCGGTTGAAAATGGATTGATCTTTTCATTATATAGCAACCATCTTTGTCTGACATCAACTTAGTACTGGGCGATATAAGGCTCTGACTCCCACGTCAACACATCGATAAAACTAAAGTGAGATTGTCTGAAACGAGCTCGTCTGAACATTCATGTGAACCAGAGCAAGGAGGTGGTGATTGTCCAGCCCTTTCCCCTTTCTCCTCAAACATCACAGCGGTGAAACAGGGCCCCCTTATGGCTGCTGTTGGATCTGCACTCTGATTATTTCAGCTTCCACTGAACACAGAGCAGAGCAACAGAACGAGACAGTAAACCGGTCAGCCCTTCTTTTTATCTCTCTCTGCCCTGACACGTCCTGACTACCAGAGGAGTGAGGTCGGCCATTTTGCAGGTTAAAAGACGTGTGCGGATATTTCGGATTTCAGAGAAAAAGATAATTATCTTTGATATCGGACACACCTCACACCGCCCCCCTTTAACCTCCTTTTCCTCTTTTTGAGTAAATCCTGCTCTGAAATGTTGGTGTCTTTTTAAAGAATTAAAATGTCTTTATTATCTCAGATTGGATTTGGCATCGAAGCATTAAAAAGGCGGAACTTTCCTGTTATTTTATTTAACAAACATCTGTCTAGAGAACTTCTCAAAACAACCAGATTTGTCAAAAAGCTTTCTCCACATTTCTTTAAATCCATTTTTTCATTGATTTTGACATTCTTAAAATGTGTCTGAGTCTTAAACCGGATGCAGCGTCGCCAAGGGAGACGCAGACGCCTCGTCCTTTTGGACCGTTTGTGATAAAACGGTCGTTTTAAGTTAGCAACAAAGAAGTCTTGAAACACCTTCAAGCTATCTTAACGAGATGAATTTAACAGAAGATATGTGAGAATAGTCAATGAAGAATGACAACAACATAAAAAAAAGGTTTCATGTGTCGACTTTCACCTCCAACAAGAAGGAGAAACACAAAAAGTCGAGTTATATTCTGAGCAGGTTAATAAACGTCTGTCCAGGTTTTATGCAAACAAAGTTCCTGGTGAATAATTGGAGAGTCTGAAGTGAAAGTCGGAGGCACTCTGCATGCCTCTGATTGTCAGTTTGGACTTCCAGTTTGTTCAACATGAACTTGACAGTGTTGTCTTAAAGAGTGCCTGATTCCTTCACATCCTGTTTCTGTTTTTTTACCCTGTGCAGCCCTCACTTCACTTCCTGTCAGTTATCACATGTTTTACTTATTATCTTTAAATAAATGTTCACTTTGTGTCTGCTCTGAGACTCCGTACTGAAAGTCTTTTAACCTGCAAATGACCAAAAAAGATGTTTTATCTTTATGACTTCTACAAGAATGGAGATCAATGCTGAACCGAGCTCATTTACATTCACAACAGGAAGAATATGCTTTAAATAAAGTACTTGTTTGTTGTTTTGCAGTTTGACTTTGGCTGCACTCTTGATCACACTGTAGTGATTTCTGTCCATGCAGATCTGAGCTGTTCAGTCATATCTGTATATCAGAGTACAGCTCCTCTTGTTGGACACTTGTCGGAGATTATTTTAAATATATCGGCCTGTCTGAAAGTGTTTCAGGTGCAGGAGATTAGTCCGGTCATTTTCCATTTCTCTGCCGTTGAGGGAAAGTAAAGGATGTGTAAAATAAGCATAAACATGTTTTATTCTCGTGTGCATGTGATAAAGTGTTCTGCACATTGACATACCGAGTAAATATTGAAGCAGTGCTTTATTGACAGAAACACTAATCTGTCGTATGTTCTGCTCATCTGCAGCAGAGATGAGTTAAAGTACTTTGAAGGCCTCCGGGTTTGAAAACACTGATTTAGTGTGGAGCGTCAGAAAAAGCACTTTGTTCAACCCCTTTCCTTCACTTGACTTTGCAGTTATGTTCTGAAATTAAAAAAGACAAATCGCTCTCTTTCTTTTCTTTTTCTAGTTTGAAATCTTCAACAGAAGTCAGAATACTTGTTTTGTGCTTAAAGGCACTTTTGGAGACACGATGTCGGGGATTCAGAGTGAGACCAAAAAATAAAAAAAAGGGTCTGCAGTGACATCAGTCGCAAAGCTCGCTCAGACAGAGAAAACACAAAATACAAAAGAAAAACTCAGTGAGGAGTCGATTCATTTGTCTTTGGAACGAGAGGATTACCCCGGAGGTTTAAAATCTCTCTCTTTCTCTGAAAGTAACATCCAACTTTGTGTGCTTTTTTTTAAATCAGAGAGAGAAACACTAGCAGAGAGACAGAGTTACTGAGAGGGGGAGAACGAGGGATTCATCAGGAAAAGAAACTCCTCATTAGTCGAAATAAAAAAAAAACAGAATTTCAGAGAGAAATCAGGAATATCTCATCCCAAAAACAAAAGACGTATCCTGTTGTTTTCCACCCTTTCATTCTGACCAGTAAACAATGTGAGGTCTCCTGCAGGAGGCTGTTAACTTCCTGTCCCCTCCTCAACAGCCGGATAAACACGGAGAGTTTCAAAAAGAAAAGAGAAAAAAGATTGCTGTAAAACACTGAATTTGCACAAATCAAACACATGAACAATAATTGCAATTTCATGCAAGAAGTCAGACTCATGATACTTCAGCCATGAGTCCGTTATAGTTGACATTTTCTGTACTAACGGCTGTTTGTAAAACCTACAGACGCTCTGACCTCCAGAAGGCGTCTTCTTCTTCTCTTGTTTTCTGGTGTTGAGATTTCAAAGGCTTGTGTTGTGTTTGTGGTCGTAGTCGCCAAACCTCAGCACTGTGCGCACATCCCAAGAAGACCCTCGAGGTCATCATGTCACCCTGGTGTGTGTTTTTTTTTTTTTTCTGTTTTTTGGTATTTCACACAACGATAGAAAATAAGTTCCTTCTCATAAATACTGTTTTTTTTCACCCGCCGCGGAGCAGATGAATTTTCCTCCTCCACATTCCTCCAACTTCAGAGACCGGTCACAAAAATGAAAAATTGTGCCGGTTTTGGGGCAAATAATACAGAGTCACTGTTTGTACTTTAAGACCTTGTTTTGTCCTCTTCAGCACTGAATGTGATTTGTAAAGTCTTGGTTTTGAAATCAGCCACATTTTAGTGTGCATAAAGTTCCAGCCGCCCCCCCCCCCCCCCCCCCCCCCTCTGCCCTCGATAACACTGATTTTATGGAGATTTTATGAACACCGATGTGGGAGTGATTCTTCAGTCTTAATCTTCAGTCAATATTATCTGTACATCCGGGCCGGTAAGAATCGAAGCAGCAGAGTTATCGAATTATAGCTTTATAAGCTTAGCTTTAAAAACACTGGACACTACATTTCCCATAATGCAACATTGCCTCAACAACTCCTTCTCATGAATGTTTCCCAGTCTTCCGTTTGAGTTTCTTGCACAGATTTACTGTCAACATTACTGTCTAAAATAACCCCTAATGACATCACAAGCTTTTTTTTTTCTTTCTACCCCCTTCACACTACATTTCCCACAATGCAACACATTTTTTTTTAATCTTTTCTAAAGACACTGTGCTTTTGCAGTCTTTCAACATTCGGTCAGTTTTTTGAGCACCGGTTAAAAGTTTCCAACCAATGCTCAAAAAACTTTTGATGACATCACTGTGACATCACTAGGGTTATTTACCACCTCTACATATTTGAACTTAAATAGATAAGCGCCCCTCTTTTAGGGTATTTACATTTCCCTGTGTTGTCTGCCACTCACTTCATGGCCTGGCAGCTTGGAAGTCGGTATTTAAAGAGAAAAGAAAAGAACAATATCTATGTTTTAAATACATTTTGAGGAGGAAAATATATTTTAAAAAAACGTCCTGGGTCAGACTGGAATGATCAGTGGGAGAGGGAGCAGCCTGTGGAGCTGCTGCAGTAAACTGGTTTCTCTGTGCTTCACAGCAGCAAACACTGTAGCACCAAACACGTTTAAATACTCACACAATATGTACAGAGAAAACACGATTCTTCTGCAGGTTTCAGCTCAACAAGACTCGACATCAAATCCTAAACACGCCCTAGGCTGCAGGAACAGGAGGACAACGTTTCTCTCCAGCTGCACCTGATCCAGGTCAAAGGTCAGGACATGAGGTTGTTTACTATTTGGCAGCCTGACACTCAGGTTTGGTCGTGTGTGTGTGTGAGGCGGGTCAGACTGGAGGCAGTTCTGGGTCGGTGGAGTTGAGCTGTGTTTCCATCTCGGTCCCGTCCGGGTACGGGTTGGGGAACGGGTTGAGGAACGGGTTGTCGAGGCAGGTCATGGGGACGAGGGTGGGCGTGGCAGGTTTGGCTGCGTAAGGTCGGGAAGCAGAGGCGGCAGAGGCGGCAGAGGCGGCGGTGGCGGTGGTGGAGTTGGCGTTGTCTTTTCCAGACGCGGCGTCCCCGGCGTTGGCGCTCAGGTGGCCGGGGTCTCCGCCTGCAGGCTGGACATGCGGATCTGCGAGCTGCTCTTGCTGAGGATGGACAGCTGCGTGCCCCCGTTCACCCCACTGCTCGCCAGGGAAGGATGCCGGTGCTTCAGGTCCACAGCAAAGTATCTGTTCACCGTCCAGCTGCGCCATTTCCTCTTGATCTCCGATTGCACCTTGAGGGATATACTTCACAAGGTCATTATTAATGGACCTCGCTGGAAGGAGACACACTCACTGTCCCTCGCTCTAACTGACTGTTCAACGCTCACTGCTCTGCATGTTGACTTAAAATGTCCTTAAAGGAGAATCACACACTTTTTATGTCCCCACACTTTCAAAATAAAATGCATTTCCTGTTGCAATAATTAAATAATCAACATGATAGAAGAGAAGAATTCAAAAGGATGAGAAGATGCAGATGAGCATGTTAAAGTCTGGCTCACTCTGCAGGGTAATCGGGCCGATTCTTCCTTCTTCCCGACAGTCTCAGGGTCTCTCCCGACTCGAGGCTGCTCGGACCCGATTCTCTGCTCAGATTATCTTGTAGTGTGAGCGGTCCAAAGATCCAATCTTAACGTCCCTGATTTATTTCAAACATGTTTGATATTTATTTTATTTAATATATATATGTCATGAAAGGGTCCGGCAGAAGTTGTGTGTGACTACAATATAATCACGAGAGACAAGGGAGGACTGTAGTCATGGCGACCAGCGGTTTCTGTACAGATCATCAGTGCAGCACTTTTCTGAAACTTGTCTCCATATATCTACGATTACATCAACTTTTCTATATCCTACAACAACTTCCACTTCCTTCTCTTTCACCAGCCGTCGTCCTTTTGTTTTTTTACATGAAACTTTATTAACAATTGTCAACGCTCCGTCCTGATTTCACTCATACAGTGTGAGCCAGGCTTTAATGTGTCAGATTACTAAAAATGATCAAACACTGAAGTAAAGAAAGAAAGTCAATCAGGGTTCAGTTCAGTGAGATATTTAGATTTTCACCAAACATTAGATCGAGATAACTTAATTTTAAATATTTGTGTGTGCATGTAGGATGCCAGATGGAGAAGACCATGGACCTGGAAACAAAGAACTGCTGCACTTTGTCTTTTATAGATGTTGTAATGATGGGAAATCTACGAGAAACTTTCCATACAACTTTGAATAATGGTTACTTTTGATGTGATAGACGTCTTCTGTGTTTGAAATGCTTTTGTTAAGGATGGATAGATTGTTTCCTATAAGTTAACATTATTGTAATGCTAATATATATGTAGTATGATTTAGCATTAAGCTAACAAACTAAGATATACATCCTGGTATACTGGGGAACAAGGCAAAAACATTTATACTCAATAAACTTTCAATAATTGCAAAAGCGACAGACAGTGTGCAGGAGTTTCATTTTGTATGTCCAGGTGATTTTAATGACAAATGGAAACACAAAACTAGAAGAATGAGCCGTTACACATTACAGAGCAATAAATCAAGATATTTGTATTTACACACTCGTCTATTCCTCAAGCTGCTGATCAGTAATGTTGTGTGTTTGTACTAAAATAGTGTAGATAATGGAAACCAGTAAAAACTGATTTAAATGATGTTTACCTCTCCATTCAGGAAGCAGTAGAGAACGGCCACCACGAAGCCCTGAGGAGACAAAAACAGTCAGAGTGTGAGACGACATGTTCATTTCTCTAACTGCTAACACTTCACAATGAGGTACAAACATTATAAAAACTTATTGAGGAACAAATGAGGAACTAAATACTAGCTAACTGTTACAGGGTAGATAGTGAGTTACTACTCATCCATTCTGTAGAGATTACTTAAAGGAGCAGTATGTAACTCTGACCCCTAGTGTTTAAAATGGGTACTGCAGTTAAAATTCTAAACATCATAGAGAGCTGTCCCCCCCCCCCTCCTCTCTAGAGTGGATGCTCACTCAGGTCACCATGTGGTGGACTCTGAAGCTTCAGTGTTTATCCAGCTCTGCATGGGTCTGTAAACCTTTCTGTGTTCTAACCTCTCTCCATTTTTCAAAAGCATCTCCAATATTGATCCTAGTTTGAGCACGTTTCTGCTCGTGGAGCTTATTAGAAACATGCAGAGGCTTTTTAGGTCGGGTACAATCACTTCTATCTGAACCACTTCTCTTGCCCGCTTCCATCACTGCAACACCTGTTGACCTGATAACTGCTCTCATATCTGACAAACCGAGGGGCGTCCAAAACGGCCGTGTGGGGGGCGTGTCTTAAAAGCGCCTACCTTCTCTGGTCCAAACAAATCCAGAGCATTCAGGAGCAGAATCTAAAGTTAGAAGGAGGACATACTGGCTGCTGCATTGTTGTCAGAGAAGCCAGCACTTCAACATAGCATGTTTCCTTAATGATCAGAGAGTAAGATACCTTTATCATCTCACTCTCTACACAGCTCACTGAATGGACTGAGGATGAAGTGAGGCATCATCATGAGTACTTACTCTGAACTGAAGAGAAGTGACTCATCATCTACTCATTAACTAACTGTTAACTAGCAGCAGTCGTTGCCTAGTAACACTCATTAATCACCTTTGTCTTTACCTGCCTGTCAGCACCTCTTAAACATCAGACTGAAGCTGCTCATTGGCACTTTCCAATGTTTTTTCTCGCTGTTTCTCACTTGTGTTGTTCTCACTTTCAGATGTATGCCTGCTAATCGAATTTTAGATTTGTAGAACCTATTTGAGTTTTTGAAGGTTCTAACGATTTATGCAACTTGTCATTGTTTAAAAAAAACGACATTTAGCTAAAACCATAATATTTGTAAACCCTGAAGTTTACAGCTCTGTTCATTTCCACTTCCTTCCTTCCCTGGCTGTATCTGTGAGTTATTTATTTATCTAAGTTATAAATATTTTTATAAATACGGGCGCTGACGGAGGAACAGTCACCTGGAAGGATCCGAGGCCGAGCTCGAACACCAGACGCTCTCTCTTACTGACGTTCTCGGGGGAGAAGGCGAACACGGTGTAATGGATCCCAAACAGAGGAATCAGGAGCAGAGTGGAGCGGGCCAACCTCCTGCAGAGCACACACACACACACACACACACACACACACACAGTTTACAAAAGGAAAACTGGAACACAGGATGCATGTCCTCATTAAAATCGGCACAGGAAGTTACAACAACATCCTGTATCATTAAATTCAGGAAAAACTTTTTTCACATGTTGTGATGTAGCTTTAAGATGACCTCACAAACAGCTGATCTTCAGAGTCATCTTACAAAACTCTTTTGTGTCATTGAAACCGCTTCCTGTTTTAATGTCAGGCGTGACAGTGTAAAATAACTCACAGGTAAATACTGGACTCATTCCCTCCGATATCTGGGGACTGTAACTTCTGCACGAGGATGATGATGATGCCGACGAAGAGCACGAAGTTGACCTGGAAAAAAAAAAACATTTTATGATTACCAGAGGGAAGTTTGTTTTAAGTTATTGGGAAACTTGTTCAGGAGCAATACATCCGATTTCTGATGAAATGGTTTGTGTGGAGAACAGAAAGCAGACTGGATAAGAGAACATGTGGTTTTGTTTCTGATCAGGGAGAACGCAGTGATCTGTTTAACTTTAATCTAAAGAACAAGGATGAATCAGATCCCAGCAGGACGGTGGATTTAGTTTGAGTTCAGAGGTTCAGAGTATGTTAACTCCTTCATTGTTTCAACAGAGAAACTTAAAGTTTAATGTATTGAGTGAATTGTTTCCACAGAACACACAAGCTGGAAACCACTCGTGCAATATTCTAATAAAACAACATCATATTATTTATAAAATCCTCTGGTACACGTTCAACTCCTCTGTGCAATGTTTGTCTCTCCTTACTCTCTGCTGCTGTCACACTGTACATGTCTCTGTTATGGGATTAATAATAATAATAATATCTTTATTTATATAGCATCTTTAAAAACAAATGTTTACAAAGTGCTGTGACAGCCAAAGCAAATACAGCAACACGACAACAGAACAGAGATCAACAGAGAGGACAACATTTTTAAAATGTAAATAACAGGAATAAGATTGAACAGGCAGGTATGAAGAGGCAGTTCAAAACAATGAAGGAAACATGAGTTTAAAATCAACGAAGAGAGAAGAAAATGAAAATTGAGGGAGAGTGTGACGACATCACATCACAGGCTGTAAACACAGAATGAAGATAAAAAAGAGAGATAGACAGAAGAGGTAAACAGGAGATTGGTTAAATGAATAAAGCAACAGAGAGCTGAAGAGTTAAACAATAAAATGAGTAGGAATTTATTCATACAGGAAGGGAAACATTTAAAGGCTAAAACATTTAAAGAAGAGAAAGATAAAAAGGTTAAAATTAATAAAAGAAAGGGACAGATCTTTAAAGGAGAAATCACATAGAAGCAAGTCTATAAAAGTGAGTTTTAAGAAGTGAATTAATAAAGGTTTATCTAATCTTTGTATATAAAGTTCTTTACGCATGTTGTCAAGACGTTTTCAGGATTCAGGAAAATTCCTGAATTCACATTCCTCCTTCAGATCTGGGAAATGAGGGAGGAATGTCTGAATGGTTCTCCTCTGTGATTGTGAATCATTTATTTTAGTGATTTCTAAATTTTCTATTTTCTATTTATTGTTTTCTTTCCTCTGTAATGATGCTTTAGATGTCGTGTGAAGCACTTTGAATTGCCTTGTTGTTGAAATGTGCGACATAAATATTAAACACTGTGGAGAGGTGCAGCAAAGGGCCGAGGTCGGATTCAAACCCTCCTCTAAAAACGTAAATTCTGGTTGGCGTTTTTTGTTTTGGATTTTGAAAATTTCAAAAAATCACAGAACCGAAAAAGACCAAGTACTTTGAGTTTTCTGTTGTTTCTTTCATCACAAGAAGTTCAAGATTTACACAAGTCTACAGCCTCTGTACACTCTGCATCTCCAGGAAACATTTCATCCCAGGAAACATTTCAACATTCCCAACTTCTTTTTAAAAGTTCATGCACCAACTTTTAAAACATTCAGAGTCTTCCTTCCATGTTTGACATAAAACACTGAGCAGTGCCTTTTCACATACGTTGCAAACAAAACACTTCTTAGCTTGTCCTTTTTTTCTCCACTACACTATGGTAGTTAAATGTTTAATCCAGGTTAACTCCAGGTTTGCAGGGTTGTGTTGTCATCCTCCTCCTTTTTATTTTATTTGCATTGTTATTATGACAATGAAATGGATGTATGAATTACTACCAAATGAATTTATTGGATGATATATACCTGTAAAGGCTGTCAAAATAAATAAAAAGTTGGTCAA